AAAATAGGCGCCAATTGCCCGCGGCAAATCGGCTGGTCAGCGGCAAATCCGCGCCGCAATCAAACATTTCGAATTATTCTCCCGGAAGTCTTTGAAGAACCCTGTGGCCGATGTCATAGTTTACGATTCGCTAGCGAATCGCTGGATCCGAACGTTGCACAAGCGGATCGAGCGTTGCACCAGCGAATCGATCGATGCACCAGCGAGCGACGAATGTACCAGCGACTTTAAATAGTGGCGGGACCCAACGTTTAAAGGAAGCCCGCCACTTTCAAACAGTGTCACGTGACAGTGGACGCCTTTTGAAAGTGGCGGGACTTGACAGTGGACACTGTTTGAAAGTGGCGGGCTTCCTTTGAACGTTGGGTCCCGCCACTATTGAGTCGCTGGTACATCGTTCGACTCGCTGGTGCATCCGTTCGATTCGCTGGCGCAAGGCTCAGATCCAGCGATTCGCAACTAACATTGGCCTGTGATGAGCCTTTTTTGTCCTTTGTTGTCATTACTCTTAAATGTAGCTTTATGTTGATTTTTTTCATCCAATTTATTCGTTGTTCTGCCGGTGGGGGTTGGATAGTGGCAGATGACTAAAATTTGTGGTCCAACTCGCTTGTCACACGCACACCCACATGAGTTGCACTCATTTGCCAAGTGAATTGCTTCACTTGGATTCTTTTGTGCGCATGTCTAAGTTAGGAATGTGTTTGCATATGAGGGTAATTCAAACACTATAGAAGTTTTTGTACGTGAGTCCGGCTTTGGCGGTGCTTTGTTCTTAGACAGCTGAGAGCGAGCGTGAATTTGCGAATGCACAAAAGTGTTTTCGTTTTGTTTCAGGTTTTCACATGTATTTTGTGCATGTTGAGATCAAATGCACGGCAATTCAGCTCACTATCAAGCAGAGTTTAGTTTCTAATACAAGTTTTTTTGGGTGCTGTCAAGTTTTCTTCGTTAAAATGCTACTGCCCAAGTATGCTTTTTCCATGTCGCTTTTCACATTTTCACGTGTTCTCTTCTTATCTTTGTGTATTACTCCTCAAATTTGTGTGTGTGTTTATTTATCGAACTTGTTATTTTGAATGCTCGTGTTTTGTTATTTATGTCATTTTTCCATTTTCAAGTTTTTGACTGCTTCTGTCATTTTTGTTTTAGTACGTGTTTTAAATGTGTGTATGTGTAAGAGTGTGCGTGAACAAGTGCTAATATGTGAGTTTGCTGTCAGTTTCCTTTGATAACCACACTATGAGCCTTTTTTCGCTTTTTGGCTGTGGCTGAGAGGGCAGAACGGTTTTTTTGTGTGCTTCGCACTTGTTCTGTTTGCTTAAGGTTCAGCTTATAAGAAAGAATTAAAGGTGAGGTCTATTATGCATGCAATGCGAGACGATGGTGTCGTCAGTCATTGGAAAAATCTGTAGCAAAGGGTAGCTTGTAAAGGACCGACACCTATACATAGTATATGTTTGCGACATATACCTCTTTCGTGGTCGAAATTGTAGTCGAACAGAGAATCTACAGCAGAGCCTACAACATACAGAAGGACATGTAGCACTGTGAAATGCTTAGAAATTCGAATTTCTATTCTGAAGATGTGGATGGAATTTTGTTGGTGGAATCTGATGATAGGTGTACAGCCCACTTTATACCAATTGGAGTGGGAGCGCACAAGGAACCAAAGAAGCCGCAGAATGTGGTACTTTTGAAGTTGATGGCGCCCTGTGAAGGACTAGGACTGACATCATCTATTGTAAATTCTCATCGAGAGCTGGGGTGGGAATAGGTCAAATTCCGCATATTTTCCGATCCTGAACCTTGATCCCTCCCGCTACGCCTGTTACCTCATATACTATGATTTTTAACGCCAACCAATGTATCGTACCATCTGTCATCGAGTGATGTCGCCTTTGTAGTGCAGAACGAATTCAGGTAAACGTGGCAGGAAGAGCGCGCGACAACCTCCAAGTAAGTGAGCCAGAACGTTATCATCGTGTCATGGTAGCTGTTGAATATTAGGATTGGGTCACAGCCAAGAATACTTCGAGGCTTGGGCATTTTAGAAAGTCCCTGCAGTGCCGCTGATGCCAGTACTTCGAATAACCGAGAATGGTTGCCGCCAAGAGCTGTTGAGTCTAAAGATTGTTCGTGGCGACTCTTGCCCGTTGACATTTCACCAAGACCGTCCTTGCGCACGTTTGTGAAAGTTTTTGACGTGACGAACACGAAGCACACTAGTAAGCATTGAAAAGTGTCCTCAATTCGTTTACGTTTTTTAGATGTTATCGGTTTTCTCCCAACGTTTTCTTCCTTAGAAAGGTTTTACTTGCTTCGTTTTGTTATATGAATCCCATCCAGTAAAGTGAGGCTGCGTTCATAAGTGTCCTAAAGCACCAGGTGCCCTGGTCTGATCGTCGGATGTCATCAGTCACTTTGGACTATTGGGGCCGTATCGTTTCCTTCCCCAGGCTAGTGGAAGAATATATCCGTCAAAATTTTTTTGGTTTTTAACGATATAATTTCCTTACTTTCAGCACATGGTTGCCTTCTCCTATACATACAAACATCACAAGTAGGATTCGTAGGGAAATCCTGGTTGGGAAACAAAGAAAATGAAAGTGATTCTTACGATATAGTTCGAATTTAATGCTCACTGTGCGTTTTTTTTTTTTTTTAGTGTTACCGCTTGCGCGCACCTCGTCTTGACGTACTAGACCCATCCGTCAACGACACGTCCGAGCTGATCCAGATCCTACTACTGCAAGAATTCTTCCCAAAGAAACGAATACATTCTCGTATGTTGGAATGAAATAAGGTCCATAGTTTTTGTTGCACATTTTTTTGAACCGAGCAAGTCTACAGTATTCAGTAGTCTAGTTTTTGGGGAGTGTGACAGATTTGAAAGTGAATGGAGAGTGACATATTGCTGTTTCTCGTGAATGTAGATTACGATCCATTCTTGCCTTATTTATTTATTTATTCATGGACGCAGAATATCTGCGTGGGATTTACAATCAAAGTGGATTATATCTGTGTGAGATTCACAATAAAAAAGGATCACAATCGCGATCAAAAAGAAGAGAGGAATAAGATAGATACAATACTGTAATAGAAAGGGTGCATTCTGACAAGCCAGTAAGAAACAAATACAAACTAGTCTATTAGTCAAGTTGGTATTATTTTCAAGAAACCTCCGCATTAGCTAATCTAATGGCTATTCTACGAAATGAACCGAGGGATAAATGTAGCGTATCCTGATTGAATATTTTATTTATGAAAGGTAGTACTCTGATCGCAAAGAATTTCGCTCTGACCTGTGATCTCACTACAGGACGTCTTATTTTTATGGTACTACCCCTAGTCCTAGATCGCACTAAAGTGAAAAAATCTGTGGGGTTTACAGCAACTTTTTTAGTCAGAATTTTGTAAGCCATCATAAGATCATTGACTAATCTCCTTTTAGCTAAGGATGTCAAGGCATAGTAACGACGTCTTTCACATGCATTAGGTAAAGACTCATAACTTAGTCCAGAGCAACGAAAGGCAAGCTTTCGAGTGAAGTTATTCTGAACACGTTCGAGAAGAACAATATCCTTTTTCTTATAGGGAGAGAATACAGTGGTACCAGATTCAACTATTGGCCTTATATAGGTTTTATAAGCTTTCAGTAATACTGTTGGGTCTTTCGTCTGAAGTGCTTTGAATAGATTGAAAATTCTATTGTTTGCTTTGGAAACCAGTGACTTGTAATGTGTGTCAAAGCTTAATTTATTGGAGAATGTAAAACCAAGGGTCTTTAATCTCACTAACAGGCTCTAATTGTACTGAACCAATTTTGTAGTTCTGAGTGATAACATTGTTACCGATGCAGAAAAGCTTAGTTTTATCTGGAGCCAAAGGTAAACTCCATTTCTCAGACCAATCCACAATATGATCAATAGCTGCCTGTAGCATGTCACAATCAGACTGACTTTCAATAACTTTGTACAATTTGATATCATCAGCATACATTACGGATGATACTTGAAATCTTGCCAAAGAACGGGGAAGATCCGCTGTATAAATAAGAAAAAGTATTGGAGACAATACTCCACCCTGGGCGTAATAACTTGAGGCGGGGGGGGGGAACCTTGGGTACTGATGAGAGTTTGGTCTCCAACACGAACTTGATAGGCTGCAAAATCAAAATATATAACATGAACTTGCTTACGAGTATCAAGGGCTCTAGACCAGTCATTGAGAGAACTTAGTAGTGCAGTTACGGTGGATTTTCCAGCACAGAAACCATGCTGGCATGATGGAATGATGTTATTATGCATGAGAAATGTTGTCAGTTTTGATTTGACTATTTTCTCGAACAGTCTGGAAAAAATAGAGGTGATACTTATGGGACGATAGTTGCAAGGATTACTGAAGGGAGGTTTTTTGGGTACGGGCACAATGAAGGAATGCCTCCACCGAGATGGAACTTCAGATCTCATGTATGACAAGTTGAAGAGGAGCTCTAGTGGGAAGGCAATATACTGTGCGATGTTTTTAATGAAATTGAGAGGGACAAAATCTGGTGTTATAGAGTAGGAACTAGGCCACTTCGATAGCAATCTGTATATTTCGTCCCTATGAAACCATAGTGATGGTTCCATAGAATGAGTGCATGATGGGAGTTCATCCAAAGCAGTGTCTCTGTCACGCGTGAAAACCTTTTGGAAAGATTCAGCAAGTACTTGCCTTATCACCGTCAAGTATAGCGAGGGTAGTTTCATCAATTCGTAATGCCGGTATCTTCTTAGTGTCTTTGAGACGCTTAGTGATGTAGGTAAATAGCTTAGTGGGATCCGTAGACTCTGTTATTTTCCTTTCTAAATATGCATTATATTTTGTCATACATTTATTTAGTTTCATGTCAAAAGTTTTATATTCATCCCAGCTTGCATCACAATCTCCTGATACCGCATTTTTCCATAGGCGATTCCGTTGACAAATCATTCTCTCGAAGGTATCGCGGGATCTTAACGTTCTCTCGACGCATGCACTAGTGGAACAAAAATGCTTATAGCGTCGTTTAGTATCGTAATGAATAGCTCGTATTTCTCCTCAATCGAGTTTACAGTTGCAAAAGATCCAACCCAATCAATATCGCTCAGATAATTCCCAATAGCTCCGTAATTAGCCTTGTTGAAATCTCTGATCCATCTCCGTGGAGCCACATTCAGGGAACTGACATTAAGGTCAAATATAATAGAAGCATGATCACTATTACCGATTTGGAGCCTGCATTTCTAATCGATGAATCAAGTGGTCATCGTTACATAAAACTAGATCAAGATATGAGTCGCCCCGGGATGGGTTTTTGACAAATTGTACAAAGTTGTGCGACCGGAACATATCGAGGAAATCCCTAGAAATGGAGTTGCAATCAGCAAACTGGTCATCAACATGCCAATCAATATCAGCTAGATTGAAGTCGCCTACAATCAAGGAAGGTGCATTGCTGCAGCTAAAGTCACTGATCACCTTGCACAACAGACTGCAGTTATGAGTATTACATATTGGGGTTCTGTAAACTAGTATTAATCTAAAAGTCTGATGGCGAATAATGAGATCAACTATAAGTATTTCGAATGCATCGTTCAGTGATTCTTTGTGAACGATTTCGTAAGACATAGTATTCTTGATTAGGGCAAGAACTCCACCACCTCTTTTCTGGAGGCGATCACAACGTAAAACATCATATTGCGAGCTCACAACGCCTAGGAGGGGGGTAGTATCATGTTTTGAGGTGAGCCATGTCTCTGTAATAAGAACCAGGTCATAGTTTTCATGAAGTAGAAGTAGAACCAAAGAATTATAATTTTTTACCAATGATCGTATATTAGAAAGGATACACTTTATCCTAGGTTCTAGCCGAGGAGAGGTCGGAGGTTTCCCTGTGAAGTGGTATCCATCAAATTCTGGGGAGCATCATTTTGACTAGCACGCTCGGAGTTACTACGTTGTGTTGTTTCAACTGCTGTGTTGTTATTGCGATCGCTATTTTTCTGACGGGCCTCACGTCTACGTTCTCGTTCCTCTTTTGTGAGAGAAGGTCGAATGTACACACCTCTCTGAGAAAAGAAACGTAATCGAGGTGCTCTCTTGATTGTTTCTATCTGGAACCGACTACTAGGTAGTACAACTTTCAAAAGTCTGGGCCTTGAACTATTTTTAATACCCATGCGGAAGACCATAGAAGGGATACATTCAATTCCTAAGAAATTTAGAAGAGAGCAGATACATTGAATATCATGATGAGCGCGATCGACAGAGTTAGGCGATTGACTTTCTGGAACTCCTGATACGACAATTGATCGTGCAATATCGGGATCGACTTGTGATGATTCTCTGTCAGCATTACTCGTGGGAATAGGACTGGTAGACTTCTGCTTGGTAACATCCCTATTTCCTGTTGGCAAGGAATTCTTCAGCTTGGCTCTGAGGGATTCATTTTCTTCCTTAAGTAGCTTGTTTTCAGCGACAAATAAAGATGGATTGCGTTACACTGGCAGGTGAGAAGAGAGATTTCCTTCTTCGCTTCAAGTAAAACATTAATAATAACTTTGACGTAAGAAGGAACACTTCCCTCATCTTCTCTGATTTGCTTTAGCAAGTCGGAATAAGAAGTAGCTTCATTTGAAGGAGTAGAATATGATATTGACGATATCGAATCCATGTAATCACAACCAGAGTATCGGAGTAGTGTGCAGGAGTCGATATAAAGGTTGTCGAGCAGCCGGTGACGTAGTTGTACAGGAATAGAATAGCACAGGAGTGTTGTGCCGAAGAGCGGTTTAGGAATCGACCGCTCAAGATGACTGCCGACTGAGAACTGATGTTTGCTTTTTTCGAGAGAGCTGCCCTCTTAAAACCCCTTTGGCAAATTCTAAATTATGTTTTGTGGAATTGCATTAAAGGTATCGTTGAAAGTACAGCAATCTTTTGTTTGGAAGGAAAGAGTGAGCGTTTCGAATAATCGTAGGTATTCTCCATTATCGTGACTATCGGCTACTTCCGTCTCTTCTACAGACATATCCGACCCATCATTCTCATCTGATTCCGAGTTCAGTAACGATACTGGCACAGCACAGCGTGAACAACGACTTCATCACGATTGAAGTCGTTGTTCACGCTCTAGCAAAAATTCTCCAGCGATCTGTTAAGGCTGTTTGACTAGAGCCTTTGCATCTCTCCACATCAGTTACGAAGCATGAGCGCGGTGCGTTAGAGTATGCCCTTACTGACGACATTCTAGCAAGAAGGTGAGCCATAATGTTTCCCAGCCTCAACCTGGATACATCTTTATCGGCTGGCTCTAGTTCATTTTCCCTGTGCTTGGTCCACAGACATGTCATAATTTTCGCGGAACTGGATGCGTGTCTAGTCCATAACTTTCATACAAGTTTTGCTGGCTTATTGAGACCGATTTATAAGTGATAGTTGCTGTCACTTTTACCGCATCACATGTAAGATAGATTCCTTCACAATTATTCGCAGGCATAGTTGAGAAAAGCGGTTTCTACAAGAGATTGTACGAGCGGTGAAGAGACACGGCTTGCCGCATTCCATAGCAAAAAAAACGGATCGCCCTCCTCGTTCATCTCACCAACATTACACTTTCTGACGATGCTAAATCAAGATGATAATGTTTCATCTCATTCTGACTGACAACTGGTGTTACATACAAGGTGCGGAGCTTCTTGTAATACTGTAACCATCGATACGATTTCTGATCGAGTACAAACAGACCACTCTTGCAAGCTGTTTTCTCGCACACCTGATATCGTTGCTTCGGATTTGGGTAACGTCCCACCTAGATTATCATAATATTAAATCCGCATGAGCAGAAAAAAAAAAAGTGCTCAACAAGGCATAACGACCCTGAGAGTCATGACCCCTACCCAATAGTGCTTTATACCGTCGGCACTCATTCCAGATTGTTTGACTAGACCGGTGGTTTGATTTGTAGTCTCGACAACGCTGCCGCAGACCATTTTATAGATTACTTCATTCCTTGTAGCGTTGAAGTGCATTATATACGCTATGATGCCACTGTAACATGTTAACCTCCACATAGCATGTAGATAGGTCTCTCATATATCATCATTATTGAAGGCAAATCACTACCTCAGAACAAAATTATATTCAATATGGAGCATTCCATCCGGCTTCTTTAGCGAACCTCCTCATAATGTCTTCGATAGTCTTATCGATGATCTTATGGTCGACGGCCACTCGCACTTATTCCATACTTAGGGTACTCTTTAACTGTGACGGTTGAACTTGTTCTCAATTACTGTCTGGAAATGACCAACCTTTCGACGCTTTGCTGTGCTGATGATTCCTTCATACGTGGCTAGCGACCTCTGCTCGGTTTTCAGTTGTCCGTGGAAGTCTTTTAAGCTGTCTAATGGCCCTTGCCACAAGGACAAATCTGTGCTGTCCACCATCTATACACATACATATTTCATGTATGGTTGACGTTCAGAATCAAAACCATCAAACGGAAACCATGACTATAATACATACTCGCATCAATGTATCTCGCGAGGAAGCCGGCTTTTACAAAATTGATGTCGAACGCCACCCAAACGCGGGGTGACCCCAACTTTCTGAGTCATCTCTGAAGAAATCCGGCACCATGCGGTCAGCGAAACAATGCATCGTCTATGGTCACAATCTTCCCACATCTAAATACCGTTAGCATTTCATTCCGCATTGAACCAATGCAAATGGAAGCCGCCTACCGTCGACGCCCTCTCATTGCCACTAGCATAAATCTGTCCACATATTGGCTGTAAAAGTCGCACCCTTTCATCGGATTCACGGTGGGACCATGGCGTCCGTGACAGAGTCAGCGATCTACCGGTTAGCCTTACCACGAGTTTTTGAAGATTTTCCTTGAAAGCCTTCAGAAGTGGATGGGTCTCGTTCTTGAACTTTCTTCACAATTTCAACAAACCATCCGCGCGCTTCATCCACGCTGAAACACGGTATGCTATTAGTTGGCAGTGCACATCCACACGGATGTTCTCTCTGTCTCTTTCAACCTACGCGAATCCATCGATATAACGTATCCTGTGTGAAGTAATCCGGTTCGGACTCGTCATCATAATGAGCGAACATCAAATCTTTGTCGTGCTTGCCAAAACCTATAAGGTGGACCGAATATTAAGTTCATTTTTCGGCTGACTGCTGCCCCAACCGATGGCAGGTTTGGTGTTCTACGAGCACAACGTTCGCCCCGTAGTGTCCATGCTTGGTGTTAGCGCCTCTGTCACACCAGCGAGCCGGTCGTGTCCTTCCCCTGCTCCCCGTCTGGGAGCAGCCCTTACAACATCCCAGATAGGACACGTCGGCCGCATGGAGCCCCCAGAAGAAGCCGAGCCAACGTGGGGGTCTAATACGTCGAGTCAGCTGGTGGGGCTCACCTCTGAGAGAGGTGACCCCCGGAAGCAGGGTCGGTCCTATCGTTGCCACATTCTGCAGAAGTATCCGTACTAAAAACAGTCTTGCAGGAGGTATGAACTGTGGCTCACACTACACGAAATATTGGGAAATCAAAGTTTTTTTTTCTTTTGTTCTAGGGGATGAAACCATAACGGACGGAACCTTTTGGTGTACAGATCCTTCAAGTAGTAGTTTTCCTTCGAAGTCTTCTTCAAGAGATGCTTCGGCAGCTTTCCGTCCAAAGAAGAACACTCTAGATTCTTAGGCCATGTCAATTGGAAATATTAATATGGAAAAAGTGGAATAACAGAAGGCAAAGCAGCAACATAACAAATTCGCCAACCTATCAGCCGTTATTCCAAAAAGTCGTAAGAGTCCTTCACGTGCAGCCATCGCGTGTTGACAGGTTTCAAATGTACGGCGAATCGCCAGTTGTTAACGCGCTGCGATTACGTGATCTACTTGAAACTCGCCTCTACGCTCCTGCGGTCCGGAACTGCCAGAGCGCAAAGAAATTGGGGCTGCGGATGACTCAGGCGCCCTTCTGCCGTCTGTGTTCTCCCCGCAGATAGAAACCGCTGCATCTCTATCCAGCCGGCTAGGGCGCAGAGAAGCCGTGGCAGGGCTGTTTCTTGTGAGCGATACACAATAATTGACGGGTGCGCAATGGTCATGTAGTACTTTTGGGAGGTCCAGCCTGTTTTCAGAGATCTAACTTCCACATTCCAATCACCCTTATACAACTCCTTTGTATGAGCTCAACTCCCTCCCTATCCGGCTTCGCTCAACCTTCTTCCATCATACGCACTGCTCTGACTTGCTACTTCGCGTGATGAGATGGAAGAGAACGCAGACACAAGCACAAATCTAGGCGGTGGCTGTGTGAGTCACCGGTGGTAGTTCATCGCAGGCGGCGTGGATGAGGAGTATCATGGTCGGCGAGAGAGCCTAGACGAGGCGCAGAAATTGCGGCGCGCGTCGATGCATTTTTAAAGAGACGAGTTCAAGCAAGTCGTCAGAATCGCGCGCTGGGTGCTGCAATGGGGCGGCGCGTTTGTTGAATGGGAACAGGTGTCGAAATGGGAAATCGAGAAGTATAGGAACTTTTCCTTGGAAAATTTCAGGTTCTCGCAAGACGGAGGTGGATTCTGGATCACCGACGGGTCATCCTTCTCAAGTGGAGCGGATTTGTTCTTAAACAATCTGAAATAATTAAGTTATTGAGCAGGAAATGAGTTTGCACTACAATTTCCACCTTCCTCTTTTTCGGGCTATAACTTTCTTCATATTCGATCTTTTGTGTCGGAGTTATTTGATATAAAAATTCAAATCATTCTCTCTCCAATCATCATCTGAAAATTCGAAAAGCTAATTTAGTAAAAATTTAGCACGTTGGAACTTTTTTCTGTGCAAACGCGACTTTTCAACCTTTAAACGACCATAACTTCCTTCAAACTCATTTATTTGGGAAGCTGAACCCGGTATGAGAAACTACAGGATTCAAGCTTTCTAAAAAGTACCCAAACGTTTTTTAAAAGTGAGTAATTCAAAAATTAGTCCCGTTGCTACATTTTTTGAGGGGCATTCTCGGAACCATTCTTTTGGATGCGGGCCATTTTTTAGGATGTGTTAGAATGCTTTGTGCATGCGCTTGCACTGATATCCCCCTGCCTTGGTGTGCGCCACGCCTCGGTCGCACTCCTGATTCGCTGACTCATTTGAAAGCTCATTCAGAAGGAAGCGGCTTACAGATGCTCTAGCATCAATTATCTTGCGTAAACGTAATGTGGTGACTATTGTCCATGTTGTCTTAGGCAATACTCCTGCTACACTTTCGTTCCAAATGTGGTTTCGTGGGTGGACCCATGAAATGGTGGGAGTACTTTTTTGAACGATGCTACATGTCTTGTAGCTGCTGTTTCTGCAGGTTTCCTTTTCGTTATTGCGGCCAGTGTCTGTTCATGAACCTGAAAATAATGCATCTGATAACCATTCACATACTCACTATCTGTGTTGCAGATGCTCTTTCCTTCCAGACCACCATCTATGATCAGTAGGGAGATTACCACAAATCCCACTGCCGGCCACCGAGAGTACGACCCCCCCCCTCCGGGTCCATCCAAGTACGACCCCCCGTTGCT